AGGCATTAGACTCTCCCAAAACAACAATATTATTATAACGGGAAACCACGGATTCCCTACATCTTTTCTACTAGACAAGATTAATATAATCCGGAAAATCTTCCCGCAATGCCAGGCTAAAACAAACGAAACCTAGTATAAAGCGGCGATCCACGGCGTTCCCACCCAGGAACTAAACGATCTCGATATCTCAGACTTTATAAAGACTAAGATCTCCACCTTCTCGAACGGACTTTAAACAGTAGGTAAACCCTACTAGCTAACCTCTAAACAGAAGAGAGAAAACCAGCTCGTAGGATCGGTTACGGTAGCCTTCCGCACCGAAAAAGACCGCAGACTAGCTATCTCCCAGCGCCTATATATAGCAGGAGTTAGCTACAGAGTCGAAAACCTCCTCTCTATACCGAGAGACCAACTCTACAGAAACTACAATAAAAAGGGACACGAGACGTCTAGGTATACTAGACAACCTCAATACGATATCTATTCTAAACGCACGTATAGAACAGACCAACACCAGTATAACTATACTGGCTGCAAAACTAAGCAAGGCTCGAGGTATAAAAACTACGATCTAGTCCCGCAGTAAACCTTTCTTATAGGATATCTAAGAATATTACAAGTCAACGTTAATAGGAACCAGCACGTTACGGAAGCTGCCCTATAACTTACAATAGAATACGAAATCAGCCTAATTCTTATCTAAGAGCTATAGCTAATTTCCCTAGAAGATCCCAAAGAAAGAAGGTCTATAAATCACCTATCCTTCGGCCAAATTCTCCCGGTTCACTCTCCCGGTTTACGTCCACGAACTCTTATTTATTTCTCGCGTAATAACCTAGAAACGCAAATAAACTTAAGAGAAGATCTCTTTCCTTCTACAGACCTAATGGTTCTAGATTTAGCTTCGCCAAACTACTCAATCCAACTAGTTAATATCTATAACCAAAGGCCCCAGAAGGATCCACAAGGCCCCTATACTATAGAGCGGGTATTCGGCTACTCTACGCCTAATCCTAACTCGCTAATAGCTAGGGACTTTAACTACCACCATCCCTAGTAGGATCTAGGCTGCTCTACCTCCTAGGAGGGTAACCGCCTACTAGACTGGATCGAATCTAATAACCTAACGCTCCTAAATAACCTAGGCGAAGCTACCCGCTTCCGCCAGGGGAATAGAGCGTCAGTTATTGATTTAACCCTAGCTAGTAGTAGTATTTCGAATAGAATCTAGGACTAGCAAATATTAGAAGATATTAGGTCCGACTATAAACCTATTCTATTTAGCATACTACCCTCCTCCCGGGACAATTTTATAAGGTATTTAGCACGCTATTCAAATATAGGTACCACCCTATTTACTAGCGGCAAGCTACGGGAGTAATTTTAAGTAAAGGAAGACCAGATAAAGCAGCCCCTAAATTATATAGGGTTATCTCCTTACTTAATTACCTAGGAAAAATCCTAGAACGTATTATTGCTAAAAGACTAGGCTTCTTAGCGGAAAAGATAACTAAACTCTTAGACCCCTCCTAAATAGGAGGGCGTTTAAAGAAATCCGCAATAGACGTAGCGCTCCTTCTTACTAATCTCGTTAAAGAAAATAAAGCACAGAAATTAAAAACTTCTACTCTTTTCCTAGACGTTAAAGGAGCATTCGACCACGTTACCTAAGAACAACTACTAGTAATAATAGTAAGATTAGACCTTCCTACTAACCTCCTCTCCTAGGTACGGTCTTTCTTAAACCAACGGACCCTACGCCTTAGCTTTAACGGAGAAATTAAAGAATTCAGCAGAATAGATATAGGAATTCCCTAAGGGTGTCACGGTAATAAGGCGGATTCAAATTAGATTATATAGGATTGACTACAAGACGTGGTACGAAGAGGAAAGGAAGAGAACGAGAGGCGGCGGCTATATATATGGCTCGCTAGCAGGCGCTAGGCGCTAAGCGAGAGACAACGAGCGAGACAAATACAAACAACAATTGACAAATAATAAATAAGACAAACCATCAGAAACATGAACAAATAACAATTAGTAAATAACAAATAAAGATAAACCGTTAGCTAGCGCTTGCTGGTAGGATCTGCAAGGAACACGCTAGAAACCCGTAATATTATCCCCCCCTTTCTTTTACCGAGCTCCTGCGAGGCCTTTTAGTACCGTATAGCGGGTGGTTGGGATGTTCTCTATAAGGATGCGTGAAATAGAAGTCCGCTGCTAATTAAGCAAAGCTAGAGGATTCTTCGGTAGGAATATCTAAGTCGTCAGCTAGACCGTAGTTTTTCCAACGAATCCTGTAATAGTAAGTATCGTTATCCCCCTAGTATCCGTTAACAACCTTTTCCACTACGTATTCTTCTTCTTCTTGTTCTTTAGTCTCTACCGGAGGGGGTGGCGTAGTAGATTACCCTAGAAGAGGATCCGTTGACACGGGTTTTAATAGGGAAATATAGAAGGTAGGGAATATTTTCATCGAGTGTAGTAGGTCTAGAGTGTAGGCGTAGGGAGAAACAACCTTTAGAACGCGGAAGGGGCTACCGTTTTTGAAGTTAAGTTTACGACTAGGCCTAAGAGTTTAGATATTCTTTAGGTTTAACTAAACGAGGTCTCCTTCCTTAAAGGCGTAGGCTCCGTAGCGGCGGCGGTTCGCCTGATCCTCGTAAATAAGCTAAGCTTAGCGGAGGTTTTCTCGTATAAAAGTAATAACTCTCTGTATCTTGTCGGCAAACTCTCTAGCATCTCGTCGTTATAGGCGAGCTGAGGCCGGAGCTCCTAGGTTTTCTACTAGGACAGGCTTATTTCTACCGTACGGGTGTTGTCCGTAGTTAGTAAAGAAAGGTGATACCCCGGTTGACGAGGATACAGCGTTGTTAGCAGCGAACTTAGCTGTAGGTAACCAACGAACCCAGTCGTCCTAGGTATAGGAAACATAGGCTCGGAGATATACCTCTATATCTTTATTCGCCCTTTCAGTCTAACCGTTAGTTTGCGGGTAATATACTGTAGAAGCTCGAGAACTAATATCAAGGAGTCGACAGAGGTGTTGCTAAAACTTAGAGAAAAAGCGGGCGTCTCGGTCAGAAACGATTAAAAGGGGTAGGCTAAAGAGCTTAAAGATTTCCCGGTAGAACAAGTAGGTAGTATCTAAAGCAGTAGGGTTCCTGCACGGGATATAACGCCTTATCTTAGAGAGACGGTCGACTACGACTATTATATGCGTGTACGAGGCGCCTAAGATATCTACGCTTTTAGGAAGCGGGCCGATAAAGTCGATAGAGATATCCCTCTAGCGTCGGTAAGGAATATCTAATGGCTTAAGTAGCCCTTAAGGTCCGTCTCGAGAGGGTTTAATTCGGGAGCATATGTGACAGTTGCGGATATACCGCCTAACATCCGTAGTCATTCCTTGCTAGTAGTAGAAACGATCTAGGAGCGAGATTATAGCAGATCGTCCCGGGTGACTAGCAGCTGGAAGGTCATGTATTAGACGTATTAGGTCTGTCCGTAACTTAGGGTTCTCTAGAACGAGGATCCGATCCCGATAATAAACTAAACCGTTAACCAACGTATATTTAGTAAGTGTAACGTTAGCAATTCGAACTGGTCGATGCTAGGTACTCTCTAAGGCTTAGATAATTAACTAGTAGAGTTCGTCTTCTAGCGTGGCAAGACGAAGTCGTTTAATAAGAGGTAGGTTAGGGTTTAGGATGGGATCTCCGTCTTCTAGAAGCTTAAAGGTAGTATCCTTAGTTATTTCTTCGGGGATAGGGTTATCGTCTAAGGTTTCCGTGTTAGAATCTTTATCCTCTTAAGGGTCGAGCGTCTATTTAGGGGAGCTAGGCGTAGGCATTTCTTCTAGTTCGAATAGCGGTATCGTAGGTTCTAGGCTAGAGTCTCCGGGTTCCTCGGCTTTAGGACTCTCCTAAGAAGGAGAGGAGTCTACGGGTAAGTCTTCCGTAGGAGGATGCGGCTTCTTAGACTTCTTAGATTTCTTGGACTTCTTGGATTTCTTAGGCTTCTCGGGTTTAGCTAAGGCCGTTTCCTGTTGAATACGCTGGGCCTCTTAAGCTTGTAGTGCCTGCCTGGCTTCCCTTTTCCTCCTTGCTCGACGACTGCCTTGGAGCATAAGTGGTTCTATGCTATCAGAGAGATTACCGGGTTTTAAGACGCGTTGGTGGAGAAACTCCTTCTAATCCTGGTAGTCGCTACCCGGGGGACGAGAGAGGGCGTTAGCTCGTAAGTTACGGGTGCTAGGCTAATAAACGATACGGAAGTAAAACCGAGAGAGAAACTCGCTCCACCTCGCTTAGCGGCGGTTAAGAAGACGGGTCTTTATAAAATACTTAAGATTCCGGTGGTCGGAGAGAACTTCTACTTTATCGGCTGTTCCTTCGAGCTCGGGTCTCTATTCCTTAAAGGCCTATACGATTACGAGAAGCTCCTTATTATAGATCTCATAGTTGCTCTCCGCGGGAGTCATCTTTTTAGAGAAAAAGGTAATAGGTCTCCAGTTCTAGGCGTGATCCGGTTGCAGTAAGACGCCGCCTGTAGCTCGATTAGAAGCATCAACCTTAAGACGACACGGTAGGTCCTAATCAAAGTACTTTAGGACGACGTTCTTTAGGAAGGCTTCCTTTAAGGCCTCGAAGGCGCATTAAGCTTCGTTAGTCTACTTAAAGGGAATGTCTTTCTTTATAAGGTTTGTTAGCGGAAGGGCAATCTTGCCGAACCCTTCTACAAATCTCCGGTAGAAATTAGCGAATCCGATAAAGGCGTAAACATCCTTAGCATTCTAAGGAACCGGCTAGCGTTTGATAGCTTCTACCTTCTTAGGATCTATGCGTATTCCTTCGGTAGTAATAACAAGACCGAGATATTTCACTTCCCGGGCATAGAACGTATACTTCTTAATGTCTACCTGGAGCCCTGCTTCGCTAAGCTTCTAGAGAACACGGTTGATATATTCTTTATGTTTAGCCCGAGTCTAGCTGTAGATCAGGATATCATCGAGGTAGGCTGTAGCGAAATTATCAAGAAATTCTCGTAGTATATCGTTGATATAGTTCTGAAAGGAGCTCGGAGCGTTAGCGAGGCCGAAGGGTATAACGAGATATTCGTATAAACCATAACGGGTACGGAAAGCTGTAAGCTATTCGTTACCCTTAGCAATGCGTAGGCGATTAAAGGCTCCAATAATATCTAGCTTAGTAAAATACTTTGCCTTCCCTAGCCTCGCTAGGGTCTCGCTAACCCGGGGAATAGGGTATCGATTCTTAACTATTAACTGGTTAAGAGCTCGATAGTCTACGTAGAACCGTAACCTACTACCGGGCTTCTTGACGAAAAGAATAGGGGAAGCGGTAGGTGAAGAACTTAGCCGGATAAATCCTTTAGCTAGGTTTTCCTTAAGATACTTCTTAAGAACTAGGAGTTCTTCTCGGGATATGCCGTAGAGCGGGCCGTAGGAAGGTTCAGCTTCGGGCTTTAGATGTATCTTGTGGTCTGAGGTCCGGTGTGGTGGAAGCTTATCTGACTCCTCCTTTGAGAAAACATGAAGCTACCTATGGTGTTGTGAGGGGAGAACGGTAGCTGGATCGACGATAATAGTAGGATTGAGAGCTTTTTCTATGTCGGCGAGAGTTATAGCGAAGAGGGTGCTTCCGGGTTTCCGGCTCTGCCGACGCAGTATACTAAGAGAATAGGAGGAAAGTTGAAGTGGCGTCTCTAGGTCCTTTAGGTAAACAGGGCGAGGAGTAGGGGGGTTATCGATTTTAGCCGAGGCTTCTACTACCTGTCCTTTAGTACAGTTCTTCAGGCAGTAGGGAGAGTTGAAACGGATCAAGTTCTGGCTCCATCTCGTCTTAGGGTCGTGCAGCTTCAGCCAAGGTAGGCCGAGGACCGTGTCAAACTGTGCGAGTTAAGTAAGATAAAAGGTTATTGATTTAGTATATCCGTTAATATAAAGGAACCCTCGAGCCATATATGTAATCTGACCGGACGAGGACTCGGTTCTATTAAAGACTTAAAGGGTCTTAGGATAAGCTAACGGGATAGCTTGAAATTTGTTTCGTTGCGCGTAATCGAGGTCTATAAAAGACTTTGCTGAAGCACCAGTATCAAGTAGGCTAAGAGAAGGTATTCTATTTGTCTGAGCTACCGGCTGAACAGTATATTAGAGAGCGAAATGCTCGGTGTCCGAATAGTAGGTTGAGCCTGAGAAACCGTAAACTGAAAAAGCAGAGAGTTCTAAGGAACTTTAACCGTAGCGGCCCTGAGCGCGTCTCTGTCCAGGGCCTAAGTATTTTCCGAACCACTGGCAGGGACTTAAGTCTCGCTAATAGTAGCGGTGGTAGGGGTAGTAGGGGCCTCCTAGGTGCCTGCGGCGCGGAACGTGAGGGGGGGACGCTTCGGTTTCTTAGGATACTCGCGAGCGAAGTGACTAGGCTCCCCGCAATAGCGGTAGAGGTTATTAGCATCGCGTCGATTCTTCTCTTTAGGCGTAAGATGGCCCCTAACAACTTGGTTGGCTGAAAGGTCCATTGCGTCGCCGCCCTAGGTAGTTGTGAGAGGAGTAGATAGCGCGCTCTAGGTCTGCTAGTTGGTGACAGCAGAATAGGGAGTACCGAAGGTGAAGGGTCTAGAACGGTTGTTGCTGTTCGGGGGACGGCGGCTGCCGTTAGAGAGCGCACGATGGCGGACGTCGTAAGTCTAGAGGCGGTTAACTAGCTGGTCGAAGGTTAGACTCTTATAGTCGTTGTCGGTGACGAGGTACTGCTTTAGTTCTATACTAATAGTATTAAGCAAGATAGCGCGGAGAGCATAGGAGTCGGTAAAGCCCGCGTAGGCAGCTTCCTTCTTAAACGAGGCGATAAAGTTAGAAAACAGCCTGTTAGTCTAGCGAAGATTAATCAGGCGAGCTATAGCGTTGGTTTTACGGTTAGGGTCGTCGAAGATTCCCTAAAGCATCTTAAATATCTTATCGACGTTAGCGAAGCTGAAGTCGCCTTCTTCAGTAATTAAAGAGCTGAGGAATGTCTAGGCATAGCTTAAAAGGCGAGAATAGATATAGCCTATACGAGCTTTCTTAGAGTTGAAATGATCGGTATTGTTCTGGAGCTTAATGCGCATAGCGAGTAGCTAGGGAGGAAACTTAGCAGTATCTATGCCGTCGAAAGGCTTAGGATCGGGATGCTTAGTAGAGCGACTAGGAGTAGCGCCTTAAATAGTAGTACCCGGTAGAAGCTGGGTTAGTATGTCTAGCTGGGCTTTAAGATTAGCTTCGCGCTAGAGGCCCTCTTTCTCACGAGTATCGGAGTCGACGTAGGCGTTTGCCTAAATAGCTTGGTTACGTAGGTGCTCGAAGATACCCTTAGGGTCTTGTTTTAGAGCGCTGATAATATCCTTAGCGGTATTAAACGACTTGCCTACTGATGTTAGCGGCACGTTCGAGTTTTCGTGGGTTTGGTCGTCTATGATGGATTTTTCGCAGGCGTTTAACTAGAAAAACAGGGTAGTAAGAATAGTTGCGAGAGTCTAGCGGCGATGGTACGCTAAGTTCCTTGGCGAGTTCGTTGGTTAGCGGGAGTCCGTCTACAGACGTATTTCTAGAACGAGGTATCCTGATTCCTGGGGTAACAAGGCAAGGGAATAAAGAGTAACTAGGTAAGGCGCTGGTTAAGAATTGGTGGTACCACGTAATGTTACGGTAATGAGGCGGATTTAAATTAGATTGTGTAGGATTGACTACAAGACGTGGTATGAAGAGGAAAGGAAGAGAACGAGAGGCGGCGGCTATATATATAGCTCGCTAGTAGGCGCTAGGCGCTAAGCGAGAGACAACGAGCGAGACAAATATAAACAATAATTGACAAATAATAAATAAGACAAACTATCAGAAACATGAATAAATAACAATTAGTAAATAATAAATAAAGATAAACCGTCAGCTAGCGCTTGCTAGTAGGATCTGTAAGGAACACGCTAGAAACCCGTAACAAAGGGAGCCCTATTTCTCCTATACTATTTCTAATATATATCCGCGAACTCTTTATAGAGAAAGCTAAGAGAGCTATTACTTTCCTCTCTTATATCGACGATATATCTCTTA